AAAAGATTACTTTCCAATGGTATTGTTGTCTTCAATCGTTAGGCTGCTTTTAAATTGACGTGAAATGCCCACGGGCTGTGCTGCATTTGAAATCACCTGGGCGCACATGAATGACTCAGTAATAAGAAAAGTCAATTGTAAAAAAAAACACTCCCTTCAGAGGTGAAAGATTAATGTTAATACTGTTAATCTGTAATAAACCACATTGCCCTCTGGCATTCCACCCCCTCTCCAACTTGATTTTATCCTATATTTGGTAGACAATAAAAGTACTTAGGCAGAAAGCTATATTTGCTTGTGCTTAATTTATTATATATTTATTTGTGTGTGTGTGTGTGTTTTTCTAATTCACTTTTCAATTCGGTCAGATTCCCAGCTATTAACAAGTACAGTATTTCTTTAATGCAAAGAGAAATACGGGGGGGTGGGGGGGTCTGCTTCATTGGTAACTGGGAACACAAAACCAAGTCCATTCTCTACAAACCTTATACACTGGCAGGATGTATTAGATGGAAAACCACCTGCCATTCTTCCAAAACATTTGTCCTGATCATTCACTCTGGGGCGCTATTGTTGTTTATTTATATAAGTCTACCAAATAGCATTGTTCTCTGGGTGGCTGACAAGCATAAAATGATAAAATGCAATTAAAATACAGTGTGATAAAACATGCATATTCATAATGTTATGGGCAGAGTGGAAAGTTGTAAGTTGATAAATCTGTTGTAAGTGCTCAGGCTATTGTATGCAAACTACTGAACTGAACACCTATTTGGGGTCCTGTTTGCATGCTAATAAGAATCCAAGCTTAGTTGTGATTTGGGCATCCTCACTTATTCATACACTTGTTTGTTTGTCTGTCTGTCTGTCTGTCTGTCTGTCATGTCTGTATCTGACCTGAGATCTGAGTTTTTAAGGAGAGTCAATCAATATAACTTTATTGTTCTATCCAAAGGCAATGACAAACCCACAGCAACAGTACCAATAAAACTATAGAGATTACATCCATAATAATGAACCAACATCCATGATACAAGACAGAGCTTGCCAGAGTCACAACAAGCTCAAATCCAACTTGATTTCAATTTAAACCTTGGAAACACCACAACAATTTATAGTGGTTTTATCTAACTCCTTCTTCCTCCTTTTTCCTTTTTTACTTGTATTTTTTATGTAGCCATTGCACTCTGTGTGCTACAAAGCTATAATTGTCACTTAAAAGAAACGGGACCATTTCCGCTGAGGTGCACCTGCTTGCTTGTGTGAACAAAAGTTTCAGAAAGCAATCTCTTGGGTCTCTATCGAAGGGGCAAGTTAACAGACAATGAGTGATGTCTTCCACTTGAGGTTGACCACAAATATAAAATCTGTTTGCATACAGGACCTGGTTTTAGTTGCCATCCAAGACTGCAATGAACATCACTTGGAAATGCAGCTCAATGAAAGCATTTCTTAAGGAAGCTGGTGAGAGTTTGGTCAGATAACTAGCTCTAAAATGCTCTGTCCTGAAGAGTGGATACCAAGGGGAAAATCTGGTGTTTCTAATTAGTTGCAGATCCTTTCTGGATTCTATCCAGGAGAGCCAATCCCTTAGTCAACACTTATTCAAGGTCAAAGCAGAACTCAGTTCTGGAAAATAGTAATAATCTAAAACATCTTGACAAGCTGCTTTGGAAAGTTGGTTATCACCCAATTATATATACTATTATAGCACAGAGCAGGAAAAGATCCAATAGGCATAGAAACATTTTTAAAAATATACTTTTAACTGAGCACAGTCTGCTCTTGCCTTAATTGTTGGCCAGCTGGATTCTGCACAAAGGACAGCAATAGGTCTGAGCTCCTTAAGTCCCTATTAGATTCAGTAACTAAACAATTAAATGACATCTATCAATATTAGAACTTGAAGTCAGAGACCTACTTTTGCACCATTATGAATGCTCAGGAGATGGACCTGGAGGTGTCATTTTCCACTCTTGACTCAACTCCTTCAGAGCCAAGGCTACTGATGTGGATGAATATGCTGATAACTCAGTTGCTATCTTCCAAGGAAATGATCTTGGCTCATCACCTAAACAGAAGTCCCCCAGATGATCTGCAGGTGGCCATTCATAACTGGCCAGTGAAGAAATTCAGAGGAATAATGAAAACAGAATCTGAACTACAAGCCGGAATTCAAGCCTTTGTAGGGGCTCCCCTGGTATTAGAAAATGGTTTACATTGTTTAGGAGAATGTATATCATATTTTCCTATTTTATTTCCACAACCACCTTGTGAGGTATGTTAGGGTGAGAAATAGTGATTAGTCCAAGATCCAACCACTAAGCTTCATGGCTAAATGAGGATTTGAATTTTGGTCTTTCTGGTCAACACAATATACCCTACATTGGTTCAGCTACAGTACTACTAAAATACTAGATTACCTCCAAGGACCCTTCTAACATTATAGGATTCTATTATCCTCTCTTTTGGACAATGCAAAAAAGCACCCACCCTATTCTGAGAGGTAAATTCCAGATTTTGTTTATTGAAAATAGTGCATGGAATTGAGTTTCATGATGAATAGTAGTTTTGGGGTAAAAAAGAATGGATTGGGGATAGAGAGTTCAAATTGGCTTGCGCAGAGCTGCTCCCATGGGTGGGTATGGATTGTGTGAATAAATTTCATTGAATGATAACTTGTGTGCATTTGCAGAAATGTGATTTATAAATGCTAACGATATATATAAATTAAATGAGCGAAAACCAAAAGCCTGTTACAGTAGAATGAAATCAGAACAGCACCACTATGACAATTCAATAATGCAATGCAGGGGGGAAAAGCAAATCCATAAGAAGTCGAAACTTGGAACGCTCTAAAAAGAAATGAGGCAAGCTTGTCATAAAAGCACAAAATTTGTTAACTGCAGTCAAAGTTTCTGTTTGCATATTGACAGACTTGCTGAAGAACAACACACTCCCATTGGCATGTGAAACAAAGGACATTCAAGTATAAGGAACAGAAAGTTTGATGTTCTGCGTTAAGTATTCCTTCAATAATGCTAAAAAGCTCCTTCAGGGAACAATGTGTACGCATCACTGCTATTCACAACACCCAAAATTAAGGATTAAAAAATACAATTGGCTAGATGACCACAGAAGTCATTCCTGCCTCTCTTTTCATAGAATCTTAGAGTAGGAAGGGACCCTAAGAGTCATCTAGTCTAACCCCCTGCAATGCAGGAATCTCAGCCGAAGCATCCATGACAGATGGCAATCCAACCTCTGTTTAAAAACCTCCAAGGAAGGACAGTCCACAACCTCTTGTGGGAGTCTGTTCCATTGCCGAACAGCTCTTATTGTTAGAAAGATTTTATGAACATTTAGTTGGAATATCCTTCTAACTTGAAGCCACTGGTTCGAGTCCCACCCTCCAGAGCAGGAAAAAACAAGCATGCTCCCTCTTCCATGTGACAGCCCTTAAGATATTTGAAGATGGCTATCATATATCCTCAGTCTCCTCTTTTCCAGGCTAAACATATCCAGCTCCTTCAAGTGCTCCTCATATGGTTTAGTTTCCAGACCCTTTGCAGATACTCCCATTTGCTTGTTTCCTTTAGGCAAGTAGTTGGCATCCATCTGCCTCGAGAGAAAATGGAGCACGACTGGGTGGGGTGGTGAAGTCAAACCGCTGGAGAATCACAGTGTCTGCTGTGGTTGCAGAGACTGGTAACTTGAAATTGATGCCTCCCGTGTTGTTTTTGCTGCTGCACCAGCAGCAGAATGACCTCTCCGGGGCATAGGCCTGGGCAGTGTTCATGGAGGCCTGGCCTGCCCAGATGACAAGACCTTGTTGATGTGGTCCAAAGGAAAGCAGAGCAATACATCTGGTAGCAGCTTGGCTGCTGGAGTTTCCAGAAGGAGGCGTACAAGGTGCCATCCAACCGTCTTACAGACTCCACTCTGGATTTCTGTAGCATTTACTCCTTAGCCCTTTCTTCTCTTGAAGATATCCTGCAAGGCAGCAGATACATGCAGTCCTGAGCTCTGTGAAGGAATGGCAGGATGCAAATGTGGTAAAGATTTGGCCAATGCTAGCATGGACCAGAAGCTGAACACCTGCAATTTATTATTATTATTATTATTATTATTATTATTATTATTATTATTGCTGCTGCTGCTGCTGCTGCTGCTGTTATTTGCCATGGGTACAAACCAAAGCATTTGTAACAGTGGTCTGTACATTTACCATTCCTTCTCCAGATAAGTTATCTGGTGAAGCAGTGTCCCTTTCCCACATCTGTTTGCACCTACTTAATGTAACATAGATACTTAAGATGTTTCTTAAAATAGCACAATATAGTGGGGGGGGGGGGGAGAGAAGAGTTCCAGGCTCAGCACATGTCTGGGCAGCTGGCCACGTAAGCTGTAAACTCATCAGTTACTTCCATGGGAAAAACTGTGCTGATGTGATCAGGGAACTCTGTGCAGACAACCTCCAGCATATCTTGCTGGTTTGCTGCTGGGTCAGTTCAGGGAGAAACCATACAGGTAGTTTATTGGTTTTGGGCTTGCACAGGATAAACATTTTTGGTGGTAAGGTTGGACATCTCTAGATAAATAGATAGATAGACAGATAATAGGTAAAGGTAAAGTACCCCTGGATGGTTAAGTCCAGTCAAAGGCAACTATGGGGTTGCAGTGCTCATCTCACTTTCAGGCTGAGGGAGCCGGCGTTGGTCCACAGACAGTTTTCCGGGTCATGTGGCCAGCATGACTAAACCGCTTCTGATGCATGGAGGACCGTGACAAGTGCCAGAGTGCACAGAAATGCCTTTTACCTTCCCGCCACAGTGGTACCTATTTATCTACTTGCACTGGCATGCTTTCGAACTGCTAGGTTGGCAGGAGCAGGGACAGAGCAACGGGAGCTCACCCCGTCATGGGGATTCAAGCAACTGACCTTCCGATCAGCAAGCCCAAGAGGCTCCCTTTAAATAAGCACACAAAAGCGACTAACCTAAGTTTGCTTTTTTACTAACGTCTCAAGAGGCTAGTAGGCTGATTTTCTGTGCTGGCCACAGAGCAGCAACCAGCATGGAAAGATCCACAGCATACATTTTAAGGGATGGCAATGGTGTGTTTCTGTGTGTTACAATTTCTATATTGTAATTTGCTGGATTGGGGAGGGAACGAGTCTCACACCAAATTCCCTTTCATTTAGTGCTCTTGTCAAACACAAAGAATCAGCACCACCTAGTGCCAAACAGTGTTACAAGCACAGTTCCAGAATCATGTTGTTTGTAGCCAGACGACAAAAATTCCTGTTATATCTTAGAGACTCAGGTGGTATGCACACTGCACCCAGTGAACTCCCACAGCTAGTTGGGAAAGTGGTGTGCACATGACATTAGCCACCATCCATATCTATCTTGCAGTTTCTTATGAAATACTGCTTTTTCATGTGTTTCCCCCCAAACCAGGTTTGATCTGAACTGAGAAAGAGAACGATATTGTCAATGTTTTAAACCAGTAATGTGTACACAGCCTCAGTGTCAAACTACGGTACATATTAGATACTGAAAATAAAAATCTAGACAGCTGTTTCTCGTAGTGAAAATTGGTTGCGGGAGTGGAGCAGAGAAACTGCAGGGTTCCAAATAAAAGTTAACTTTTTCAAACACCTGCCCTGAGTCTTGTGGGGAGGGCAGGCTGTTGAAGGGGGAACTACAATGGAAAAGCATTGGGTTGAAAAAGGGTTAAACCCACCCCAAATTACAGCCTCCTTAATCACTATAAGAAACAGCTGTCAGAGACTGAATGCATGTGCTTGTGCCATCATGCCTGTGACCCAGAAAACTGGGGTGGGCAGAAAGGCCTTGAAGGAGCTTCTCTGTTGACTTGGTTTGCACATCCTGTAAAGCCAACCCATGGTTCAGTGAAGGTGTGAGCTCTTGGAGACGAGAGCATGGCTGCTTTGCTGTTCTCCAGTCGTTCTGCCGCTGTGCTGAGCTGAGCTGAACCATGGTTTGGCTTAGTCACTTAGTGTGTCATCTGAACCCAGGTTTGTGGTTTTGCTCTCCTGGACAAATGACCAGCCATAAACCATAGGACAAAGTTTCTGACACTGGAGGTAATCTAGGCTGCATCCCCCGCAATAAAGCATCTTGGGTACCGTAGTTCATAGAATGCTGTTGTGTCCTTCATTACATTCTGTGGTAGCCAATTCCATGGTTTAGCTATGTGCTGTGTGAAGAAGGACTTTCTTTCGTCTGCCCTGAATTCCCTCTACGTTTCTGGTGAGTAAAATGTAATAGCTGCTATCCAGTCAGAGCTTTTCTTCTTATCACTTGGGAAAAGAAAGGGCAAATGGAGTTTGCCATTGGCAGAGGCAGAAAAGGAGCATGTACAGCGGCCACAGCTTGCCCTCAGGTCACTCTTTACACACCTGGACACACCTGGCAAAAAAAGGGATAACATTGTAAAGAGCAGCCACCCCTGTGGTTCTCTGTTAGCACGGGCCAGTTCTATTGTGTACAGTCTCTTAGCTGCCACTGTGTAAAACCACACTCCCCTGTTCCCCCAAACCTCAAACTGTCACCACTTTGTTCCAAAAACCGGTTAAGATTCCTATAGTTCGTTGTCCCACAACACTTACAAAAAATCAAGCACTTAAAACGCGGAAACGAGAACCTAAGGACATAATCAACTGTACACTACCCACATAATAAACAAAGGACAAAGCAATGCATATTTCATCATAGTGCAAGAATCCTGACATTTCCATTATTGTCTTTATAGCATTATTTGTCAGAAAGGGTGAGTCACTCATCATGGACTAATCCGTGGCACCTGAAGGGTCCCTAGTGTGATCAAGGTAACCTTCCACATTTGAAATAATAAGCACATAAGGAGTTTACAGGTGTGCCTTGTCAATTTCCCTGTCCTTGTTCCCTACCATATTCCTAGGGCTTGGGGTGAGTTACGTGCCTGTGTGTACACACACACACACACACACACACACACACGTATATTAATGCAAACCACAGAGTCTTGGGTTAAAAACAAATTGTTTCTGGGAAGATGTTTGCTGATAACCCCATGAGACCCACTGACATTTCCCCATCAGTTTGGAAACAAGCAGCCTTTGACTGAAGGGGCCATCAGGATTCCTTTTTCCAGCTTTTAGCTGAAAGTAGCACTGGGATCAGGTGCACGTCCCATATGTTTAGATTAGGTATTGAGGGTCACAGTCCCTTCCGGAAAATCTTTGAAGGTCCACATAAAATTGGTGGGCGAGGAGAGAGGCAAAGGTGGCTAGAGCAACAAATGTAAATTCTACCTTTGTACACTCATTACAGTACACACTACCCTGGGGTAGACCCAGTCTCCCAGCTTGTTTTGGGCATTTCTACTCTTAGGGCCCAGTAGAAGCATCTGATGCTAAGCAGGTGCAAATACGATCAGTACATTTGGATTGGGAGAGCAGCCAGGAGGAGCCCCATGAGAACAGCATATACATCATCATGAACTTTTATGATTCTTGAAAATAAAAGGGAGGAGTCAAGTGCAATTCTCTTCCCGTATGTGACTGTGGGCTAAGGGCCTAGTTTTCATTGAGGTGGGTACCTTATGTTTGGATTATACCACCTCAGACTACAGTGGGTGGATTCTTACAGTACTGAATGCTCCTGCATACAGAGTATAGACCCCCTGCACATAGAGAACTAGGGATCAGGGAACAACTTCTAGTTTCTTTTTCTTTTTTTAAGCAAGTCTTTATTGGTTTAAAATACAAACGTAAAACGAAGGTAAGTATAGAAAAGTTAAATACAAAAAAAGAGTAAACATCAAGACATAAAAGAAAAAATGTAAAAAGACAAAAAATTAAAATTTATACAAAATCATGTCTATCAAATACAAATTTCTGCATAAAACTTCCAACCGTTCTCATTATACTGTTTCTGTTGTCATGGTTTTCTTGCACAGCTTTACTTTACACCCTTTTTCATACATTCCACTAGAGTACAACTTCTGGTTTCTACATGGGAAATTTTTAAATGTTTGATATGGAGCTCACCCTTGCGGGGGGATTGCAGTCGTCCCCTTGATTTGCACAGTCCTCCCGCTAATTTTTTTAATCTGAAACCAGCCTTGTGAATGCTAATTGAACACTGCACCACCAACCTCAGTCTCCCCCCAGCTAGCCCCCCCCACCTGCCTGCTTTCTTACAACCAGTCCAGGAGCTGGCACTGCCTGTCACCTTCCTCTTCCTTAGGGCCCCTCTAAGGCCCCTCCCTCAATTTATTGCACAATCATGATTATTTGGGCTCATGAGGCAATCGGGGGAGTTACATGCAATTACACTTTCAATACTGCTTGTGCCCGGGGCAGTCACTCTGCTTCATCTCCCATCAGTGTATATTCCGCAACTTCCTGCTGAAATCCTATACAGATTTTTGTTTCTCCAGAGAGCAAACACAGAACAAATCAATGAGACAAAACTGGGCTTGATTTCACCCAGGTCACAGACCCACTTTGGCACCCCCTCATGCACATTTGCATGTACACACACACACACACACACACACACACACACATTCAGGCTGGGAATTTCAATGGTGTCCCTCTGGAGCAGCCTTTCTCAACCTGTGGGTCCCCAGATGTTGTTGAACTACAACTCCCATCACCCCTAGCTAGCAAGGCCAGAGCTCAGGGATGATGGGAGTTGTAGTCCGACAACATCTAGGGACCCACAGGTTGAGAACCGCTGCGAGGCTTTACCAGGGGCAAAACACCCAGCTGCTGCCCCCACCCCCGCTATGGCTGTGTCACCACCAGTGGTTACAATGTCGGACTAGGATCTGGGAGACCTGGGTTCAAATCCCCACTCAGCCACAAAGCTCATTGGGTGACCTTGGGTCAGTAACAGTCTCTCAGCCTGACCTACCTCACAGGGTTGTTGCGAGGACAAAATGGGAAGGAGGAAAACGATGGAACCCCCTTGAGCTCCTTGGTAGGAAAATGTGGTATAGAAATGCAATAAAATAAAAGATTTAATGCACCATTTCTGCTTTAAGAACACATTGCAGGCTACACCCACAATAAAACACCAGACTAGAGAGGCCCAAAGTCTCAGTGCTGTCCCTTGCACAACTCAGCCTGTGTCTCTCTTTGGTGTTCCGGTTGTGTGTTCATGTTTTTAAGTTCAGTCCTGGTATGTTTATTATCACGTTCACTAAAAATCTCGGGGGGGGGGGGTAAGAACTAATAATTTGCTGCCCTTTCCAGACAACGCCTCCCCCCCATCAGCCGCGGTGGGGGCTTGTTAGGATCGCGTCTCAAGTTACACCAGCCACCTCCCGGGGACTACAGCCTGGAAAGGATCTTCTCCCAGGAGATCGGTTGGGGAAGGGGGCGAGCCAGGCCCTTCCGCGCTTCTTTGCCCGCCGCCGCGCTCTTTGGCGCTGCTGTTACCTGCTCTACCCGCGCTGCCCCGCGGCAAACAATGGAGGAGTTTCCGCTTCGTGCAGCAGAAGCGGGGTTTTGCCCGGGATCGGAAGAAAAGACTGAAGGGAAAGTGGAGGAGGCGGGGGCCGCGCCGTTTGTGCGAACGTTGCGCGCCGCCGCGTTCCAACGAAGGGAACCTCCTTGCGTCAGAACACCGGTTCAGCCAATCAGGAGTCGGGGCAAGGGATTCCCGCTCTACTTGCCGCTTGTTCTGTCTCTTTAAATGGTTCCAACCGAGGAGAGACCTCAGTGGAGACTGGGAATAGGGTAACGCAGCAAGGGGGTTCTCTGCGGAGTCAAGCAGCAGGTGGGCATAGACTGGAGGAGGGGGAGAATAAGGCAACCTCAGGAGAGCCTCTTGAGAAGCAGCAGGCAAGATCAGAATCTCCTCTAGTTGTTTGGAAACATTCATTCCTCTAGCCTGGGGGGGGGGGGAGAGAGGATTCCATCTAGTGGGGGCGGATTAGGAAAGAGAAGCGATTGTTCAGCTCCAGCAAGTAAGAAGCCAGCAAGCCCCTCTTCAGAGATGGAGTGGAAGTTAGAAAGATTCGCAGCCCGGAAGGTCAAGACGGATGAAAGTGTGTTGTGGGTAAATCTACGTCCTTCAGTCTCTCTCCGCCCCGCCCCCCATCACTTTTTTTGTTGCTATCTTTTCTTTACTTTTTTTTTTTACATTTATATCCTGCAAAATTTTAATTTCAACACTCACTAGAGTGATCTGAGTGCTCAGTGCATTAAGCACTGGCCAGCTTTGCAATCCTACCCGTGTCTTCTCAGAAGTAAGTCTTATTTGAATTCAGTGGAGCTCCCCCCCCCAATGAAGTTAGGATTTCAGACTTAATTAAAACTTCAGCTATTAAGGGTTCAATCTTATGCACATAAGACCTGGGAGAAATCTCTTGTTTAATATGGTGGGACTCATTTCCGAATACACCCACATTGGCTCATGATGTTAGGGAAAAACTATAGTGGGACTGACTTCTGAGCAATCACACATTAGATCACTGTGTTAGAAAACCTTTGGAGGCCAAGACTGGGGAAAATAAAGGTCGGTGCCTCTAATTATGATGATGATGATGATGATGGGTCTGTTAGGGAGTATGTGGCGTTCCTTAAAAATAAGGACCATCTAATTCTAATACAATAAATTGCAAGTTACGGAAGGCTACACAACCACACAGTTCATTCTCTTTCCCAATCAAGACGTGCTTCCAGATTAGTTAGGATGGGTAGTTTTGTTTTGTTTTTTTTACAAAACCCTATACAGAAATGCTGTCCCCTGCACCATGAGATGGAAGGGAGGGTGTATGTGAAAGGTCACTAGGCCTGGGCAAACGCAGCATGTGGTTTGTTACAAGTCACTAAGAATGTGAACTGACGTCTTCATGGTTCAGACCTGATACCTAAAGGTTGAACTGCGTTATTGTAACATCTCTGTACGTTTGCTTTCTAGGAGAAAATAATGAGAACTCTGGGGACAAACCTCCAACAGACCAGAAACCTAAGTTTGCAGATTCTGGCTAAGGTGAGTGTTTATAAAACTGCAGAACTGACTCTGCAAGCTTTTGATTGTCTGCAACACTTTTGTGTCCTCCGGAAGAGAGTATGGGAAGTGATAGGCATTGTGTAGTAGTTCTTTCCTCCAGTATAAGCTTACATGGATGTTCTAGGAGCCAAAACAGATGAATGTGTTAACAGTGTATAAATGTTGGTTGTGGCTATTTACTGTTGGGAATGTTTGGTGGTAGAAGCAGTGCTTTTTTCTGGGGGGGGGGTACGCAGGGGTACGCACACCCCTAAACATTTTGTGAATCTTGGTACTTTTGTCCATTTACTGTATTTATTTTCCCCGATTTGAACTATAAAGTGGTGATTTTCTTGAGTCAAAATGAGAGAACCCCTACACATTCTTTTAGGGGGAAAAAGAACTGGGTAGAAGCAATTCTGCGTTGTAAGTGAGAAGGAGCAGACGCTGAACGTGAACACAGGAATGTACCGCTCTGGCAGTGCAGTACTAGCTGGCTGTTTTGGATACCTGTTGTTTTACAGCTGCTGGTTGCACTCCATACTGTTGCATTCCCAAACACCGCAAATGTAATGGGAGTGCGCCCCCTTGCGAACACTACTGGGATGCCCAGCTTTAAAATAGGTGCTTTAAAATTCCAGATTTATTGCCTCGGCTCTGCAGTCAGAATCACTAAACCATTCTTTAACCACCTTGACAACAGGGTGGCTTTTTATTTTTATATTTTGGATGTCTTGCCCACTCTTTATCATAGGGTCCTGAGGCTGGTAGCAACGATATAAAGGTAGTAAAATCAGTTAAAATGATTCAGAAGAAAATGGTGGGTTCTAATCTATCTATATACATACACAGACGTATATAGTTGAAAGGCTGGGGCAAAGAGGTGTGTCGCCTGCATATGAAGAAAGCTATACAACGAGGGTACCCGTTGCACCTCTGCCCAGCTTCCCTGTTGTCGGAGTGACCCTGCTGTGAAGCTGTCTCTGTGTGTGTGTGGTGGAATGGCAGTGTATTGTTAGCTGGATGAATATCTGAAAGGCACCAGCTGACATTCAGCTGCCAGCCTACGGCACATATTGTGATCATCGGACAACTGCAGGGGTTTGTATAGTAAGATCTTCGAAAATGTTCTGGCATTATTTGAGCACGCTTGTTAGCTGCTTTGCAGAGTTCTGAACGTCACAACGATCTTCTTCAGGCGTGGTTGTTCAGAGTGACAGTAAAATAAAGGAATAAAGTGATTTTTATGGATGGGTCTGGTCACCTTGAAGTGCTTGGGAGGTTCTGGGAACTAGGATATATCTAACCTTAATGAATGTAACTTACCCAATATCAATGGCTGCATTAAAAGTAAATCAATTTCCATATAAGCAGGGCACTGGACACCTAATATTGATGCCCCCTACAATATTCCTTTCATTATCCCATTTTGTTTTACATCTGCACTGGGTAGCCATAAAAAGGATCTTGTAAGCAGCCATTGCCAACCTGGTGCCCTCTAAGCTGTTTCAAACTACAACTTCCATCAGCTCCAGCCTCTGTGCTGGCTAGGGGTGATGGGAGTTGCAGCCTGAAACAGCTGGAAGGCACCAGGTTTACAAAGTCTGGTCTAAAAGCGTGCACTATTTCTGAACAGCTGTTTATTTTAACAAGAGATGTCGTTTCGTGTAGCATCTCTCACCCTGGCATATCCATTTGATTCCGTTTGACCTCTCTGTGTGTTTGTGTGTGATGGCTTGGCAGTGTACTATTAGTTAGCTGTTGTACCTATTCCAGCAACTAAATACACTTCCATATCATTGCATGACCATGCGTCATAGGCTAAATGCTTTCCATTTGTCTCTGATGGAAGAGGATCTTTAACAGCCACTGCTGCGGAAACCCATCAGTGCCTGCGGCGTTGTGAAAACTTGCAATAAGATAGCCTGTTTCTGATCAAACTGTTGGCTTTTATGAATTTGTTCTCTGCTCTTTCCAACTCTGGCCAGTTGCTTAACTCATCTCTTCCAGACTAGCTTGTCTGCTGAAGTGAATATATTGCCATATGGTGAAAGGGAAGAAAGGAGTAACAGTAGAAATAACAGCAATGGTTGGGGTGGGGAACTTCAAGCTTGGGGGCCAAATGTCGCTCTCCAGGTCTCTCAGCTCCTCTAAGGCAGTGCCCCCTCCCCAGGCCCCACCCTTTAATGGTCCTGCTCTGTGACGTCCTTGAGTGTTTTGGCCCAGCTGGAATGTGTCCTTGAATTGCAATTATGCCTCTTGCTTGCATGGATGAATTGTATGTAGAAACCTCTGGCTTTTGCATGGCTGGAATATAGCCTACTGTACAAAGATTAAGAGGGTCGCAGGTGGCGCTGTGGGTTAAACCACAGAGCCTAGGACCTGCCGATCAGAAGGCTGGCGGTTCGAATCCCCGCGACGGCGTGAGCTCCCGTTGCTCGGTCCCCGCTCCTGCCAACCTAGAAGTTCAAAAGCACGTCAAAGTGCAAGTAGATAAATAGGTACCACTCTGGCGGGAAGGTAAACGGCGTTTCCGTGCACTGCTCTGGTTCGCCAGAAGCGGCTTAGTCATGCTGGCCACATGATCTGGAAGCTGTACGCCGGCTCCCTCGGCCAATAAAGCAAGATGAGTCGGTCACGACTGGACCTAATGGTCAGGGGTCCCTTTACCTTTACAAAGATTAAGAGGCACACCGGTTGCTCCACCTACTGGCATGCATCCCCCAAAAGGCAATGTGGTCTTCAAATTGGGAAAAAAGTTTTCCATCTATGCGCTGTGGCTTTGGGAGTCCAACGCAGGAGATGGGGATTTAGCCCCTGAGATCCTCTGGCACAAAGATAAGTCACATTTTTGGTAGATTAGGCAGACTTAAGACTGTCTCTCCTCAATGCCAAAGATGTTTGTAAGGATCAAGGGATTTCAGAAAAGTGGCCTTCAGAAGCATCTGAATGGCGAGATGTCCGATTCTACAATGTAATATCCAAAGGGGAAACTTTTAGTCAGACTGTATGCTGAAGACTTCTGGAGGACCCATATCACTGGGGTGTTCAAGTGTCTATTACATGAGAAGTCACTGCCGTTCTGAAATTCTGCATCTTCTGCACGTGCAAATTGTTCTCAGTCTGTAATGGGAGTATTTACAACCAGCAATGGTTACATCCATTCTTTGTTCCGCAATCTAGTCTGCATTACCCTTCACACATGTACAAAATATCCAAGAGAAATTCAGTGCACATTTGAGCCTCATGTTTAAACACCAAAGTTCACACAATCTTCTCCACACAGTCTTTCAATGTGTGAGCCAACCCCACTATACAACTCTGCACAGTGAGGTGTTGTGTAGTGTTCTTGTCTCCATCGTTAATAACTTTCAGGGGGAATCCCTGTTTACCCAGGTATCTGGTGGCTGAGGAACACTACTGTTCTTGGCAACCCCAAGATCATTGGATGGAGGAATATTTTTAAATGCTTTTAGAATGTTTTAAACTGTAGCTGCTTTTAGATTTTTTATTATTAATAATAATGCGTTAACTGTTTTAGAACATTTCTGTTTTGCTTTTAAATTGTGCCTCTGTTTGCCACTCTGGGCTCCTTCTGGGAGGAAGATGGGATATCAATTCAATAAATAAATAAAAAATATTCCCACTTGATATCTGCAAGCTCAAGCTACTTCAGAAGTTCTGCTCATGTACCAATGTATGAATACCATACAAGGAGGACCTCCTCCCCTATTGCCAGTCAGGATTCTTCCTCAACTTGGGAAGAGCCTTAGACATGTACATCGGTACATCAACATAACCCCTTCTGATGTAGCTTGAACATGGGGACATCAGGGGAGTGTGGCAATTCCATAGCCACCTCCACACCTTCTTTCATCATGCTGAGGTTTGTGAGGGGGTTTGTCATATGTGTCCCCCTCTGAATAGACTATTTCAGCAAGCAGGGTAGAGTGGTACCTCAGGTTAAGAACTTAATTCGTTCTGGAGGTCCGTTCTTAACCTGAAACTGTTCTTAACCTGAGGTAACATTTTAGCTAATGGGGCCTCCCGTTGCCGCTGCGCGATTTCTGTTCTCATCCTGAGGTAAAGTTCTTAACCTGAGGTACTATTTCTGGGTTAGTGGAGTCTGTAACCTGAAGCGTCTGTAACCTGAGGTACCACTGTATTAGGATGTGATATTGAGCAATTGCTAATTTCATCTGTTCTAACAACATGAGGTGAAATGTTTGAACTGCTGAGTTTACCAAAAGCCCAAATAATCCTTATCTATACAGGACATCACTGACACCAAGCAGCACAGGAGAAAAACTTCACAGGTGGATGATCAATATTTCCCAATAACTGAGGTACGGATTCTTTTGTATGGGACTCCCAATATGAACTGTATTGGTAACCTACCATTCTCCTTGCAAAATAAAGTAGAGAAACAATTATTACACATTTTAGGGTGTGTGTTTTTTTTGGTAGTATGAAGAGGAGAACTTACTAATGGTTAAACTTGCTATGCTCTTGCACTGGTATTTATGAATGGCCTGCCATGACCATGGGATGTGGAGGAGAGCGCATGCAGGATATCTGTCAGCAAGGGACTGTGTTCAGGAAGCTTTTGACATCATGGCAACAGTTTCCCCAAAGTCAGCATTTCTTACTGGACCTGTAAAGGGTATCCATTCATTTGTATAGGATCTAGTAAAGGTTCCCTTTTGGAGTGACTACTGCAGTAGAATCTGAACCTGCTCTCGTCACTTGGGGCCCCCAAATATTGACCACCAAACTAGTTCCTGTCCATGTGGCCCCCAGAAGAATATAAGATGGAACTTTTGCAAAGCTAAACACTGACGGGTGCCCCACCCCTCTTTTCACCGGAAGCCCCCCCTTCTTTTAGGATCACATTCCATAATTCTGTTTCTTGGTCGTACTACAGCAGTGGGGAACCTGGGTCAAATCTGGTCCTTCAGGCCTATCAGTCTGGTTCTCAGGAGTCTCCCCAGCTAGAAACCTCTCTCCCCCCGCAAAAACTATTTGGGCAATCATTTCTGTAAACTCTGGAGTTCTTCCAAGCCTGCTGATACCTCCCTCTTGTATGTGGATAGTGGTGCTTTGGTTTCCTAAGTGTCCACACTCACAAGACTGAATTTGCTATTAGTATGTAGGAAAATTATAATTTCCCTCTTCCCCCCCTTAATGCTCCAGTTTACTCAATCGTGCAATAGAAAATTATTTTGCAAACCAGTGTATAGAAGAGAACACCCCAGCAGAGACTTGGCTTATTCTATCTCTTTTTTAAAAATAAAACGTCTTCATAAAAACTATTTACATTTTGTTATTACCCCCGCTCCACCTCACCCCACCCTCAATGGAGCATGCATTTCCTGCCATTGTTGATAAAATGCTATATTTTATCAGCTTTAAACAGAATGATTCAATGGCAGGACAATTTCTCACGCTGTACTTTCATTATTGGGTTAAATAGTGTTACTTGAGTTATTTGGCAAACAGTGTTTTCAGTAACCTGCTGGGAAAGAAAGAATACCTTATTTTGATTCATCTAGGACAGGGGTAGAGAACCTGTGGTCCTCCAGATGGGACTACAATTCCCATTATCCATGACCATGGGCCAGATCCAGGGCTCAGCTGGGTGAAGTGCACAGCATACCGATCCTTCTCTTTGCTCATGTGGTTTAAGAGCTGCTCCTTAAACAGAAGAGTTTTCTGTCGAAAGGCTACCAAAATTTTATCCAGTACGAAAAACCACTGCTTGTCCAGCTTTTACCATTAATAAGCAGGAATGTACTAAGGGCCGAGGAGAGATGTTGCCCTGTGGAATCCAAAAGGCACACCAGCTTTGTCAGAGGTCTTCTCTTCTTTTCAAAATGATCTGCCTAACCAGAGCAGCTATATCTGGCTTGATGCTTTCTATGGGCTCTTCGGGTCCCCAGAACTTCACGACTTTCCCATCTGGGTTGATGAGATACTTCCAGAAATTCCACCGAGGCATAGCTTTGGAGGAATCTGCAAGAACAAGACAAGATTAGTTTGTATTGCAAGCAGAAAGGGGCACCATTCAGATTTTTTAAAAAAACAAAACAAAAGCAAAACCCCCTTATAAGAACAGAAGAATGTTAGAATCCTAGAACTGTAGGGTTGGGCTCCAAGGGTCATCTAGCACAACCCCTTGCAATGCAGGAATCACAGCTAAAGAATCCCTGACAGATGACAGAAGACCCAGCTGCTGGCTCAGGCCAGTGGTCCATCTTAGTCCAGCATCCTGTTCTCACAGCGGCCCACCACTGCCGTTTTCAGAAACTGGTATTCTGAAGCGTACTGCCTCCAAAAGATGCGTCAAAGTGCCACTGAGATCGATAGGAATGATGTGCTTAGCTCCCACTGATTCTCTGGACCGCCAGATTCTTCCTCCTAATGAATTACAGTAATATGAAACTAGGCTCCTGGAGTTAATCATTATTGCTGATCAACACACAGTCCATAGCTGCCTTTCCACATCTCTGCTCATCTCTCCCCTTTGCTCAATTCAGTTAGGATTTCATCTTAAGGCCTAGAATCTTGGTGGTGGTTTTAAAAAAACAAGATTCTTGGGAAGCTGGGTTCTGTGTCCAGTACCACATTTTGTATGTTTTCCTGTCCACTTTCCCCCTAGAGGTAACGCTGTACATGCTTACCTATTAGAAATTGAAATGCTGGCGATGCTTCACTTCCTAGAATCTTTATTTTCTTGAAAATGGGGAAAGTTACTCTGTAATTTGATTTTGCAAGATATTCAATCCGCCGGCTTGTGTCTGGCTCCATTTCCCCATACTGATTACAGGGGAAGGCTAGTACTGTGAAGTGGTATGGTCCAAACTCCCTGTGCAGTTCCTGCAGCATGATGTAATTTTTTTCTGTGTGCTGGCAGTAACTAGCCACGTTAACAACCAGAGACGCCTTCAGGGAGACAGAAAACAGGGCAGTGAGAAAGAGAGAGACTGCTTATGCCGAGGTTAACAAAATGGCTTTACATTCTGACCATCTCAGTTATTTAAATGTAGGAAAAGTATACATGTTCAGCTTAGCTTCAATTGCAGAAAAACAGCCATCCATTTATTCAGCATTGTTTTAGCTACTGGCTGCCACAAAGTAAACTTCTTCAATTGCAGGAAGGAAAATATTAGTACCAGCGATTACTGCTTAGGACTGTTCTCCCCCACTCTGGAGAAACTGCAGGGATTATGTAAACCAGCAAGACTTCAATTCACCGAAATACATTGGCTAGATTATTCCTAATGTTTACAAAATCCAATTATTAACAGTAACTGATGCATTTTTTTAAAGAAAGAAATGGGACTATTAAAAAGTCCAAGAATCAAACTCATCAATTGTTTGCATTTCACAATAGTTAGCCATTGGATTCTGCAGACGTTTGCAGCTTCTGTAATAAAACAAGAGAATCATTTTGATGACTTACAAAAGAACAGGCCTGTTAGAGCAGACCAAGAGGCCAGCTGGACCAGACCCTCTGTTGACAACAACCAGATGACTGTGGAAGGCTCACAAGCAGCACAGGAAGGCACCAGCCCCCCCCCCCCCCGGTAGATGCTAGATCAGGAATGGGAAACCTGTAGTTCAACAGGTGTTGCTGAACTACAGCTTCCATTTGCCCTGAACGTTGGCCGTGCGGGCTGGGGCTAATGGGAATTCAAGTCTAACAGATCCCGTTCTGTGTGCTAGATGTTCATTGCATCTGATATTAGGAGAAACCCTGCCGTTGCTGAAACTACTTTGTTGGAAGTTAGAACGTCTCCATTTACACCAGCAAATATTATGAACTGTTTCTTGTACTCAGGAGACTTGGATTCCCACTTGCAGTATTCTTCTAACTGCTAAAATAAATCTACATTCACAGTGTTGTTGTTTTTTACAACCAGCCTGCATCTCAAAGGACGTAAAATGTCATTATTATGCACGGAGAAGACAATCGCTCCATGCAAAGATTTCAGAAACAAAATACGTGTCACTTACTTTGCCTCTGTATTTCTCCAACGAAACGGTCCTGCCTTTCGGATCCATCACTTCAAAGGAATAAAAGTCTTTGGGCTTTAAGTACTTAAGTTGCAGCAGGCCGAGTATGGCTGTGAACAAAACCATAGAGAAGAAAATGATTAAAACCCTGGTTTTCAGCCTCGAGCTTTTCAAAGAACACGCTGTCAGAGGCAGAGGCAGAGGCGGCTCCATTTTGGAGGATTTTGGGGGAAGTCTCAGCAGGCCTGGAATGTGAAGGAGGAGCTGAAACACAAAACTCACAGCAGCTTGGAAAGGGAGGTGGAAGAGGGAGCCAGAAGGCAGGCTGTGTCCCCCCCCCCCCGCAGCCCAGACTTTGCCTAAAGTTCTAGGCTGCGGGGTCTAGAAACTGGTCTATTCTTTATATTTAGAAGAAATTTATTGACAGCAAGTCAGCATTTTAGATCCCTTTTTCCATTTAAATGCAATGCCTTCTGTTTTACAATTTGGCAACAAACCATATTTTCTTCTCGCTTTCCTTCTCCCCCACAAATGAACTAGTGGGCATAATCTGATTCTCAGACATCGCTTTGTTAATGTTAACGAGAATGTATGTAAAGGACCATGAACAGTTAGAAAGAGTAGGTTGGATCCAGGGTAAACAAACAAGCACAGAACAAGTTAAAGATCAGGTATATGATTGGCTGCACTATCTTCAAGTAAATGAAATGTTTAAAAAAGATTTGAAGGAAAAGGGATATGTAGAAAAAGAATCAAATTTTCAAAGGGATATAATAAATAATGAATATAAAACGCTGTCAAAAATGTATAAGGTATTGTTGGAATGGCATACGAAAGATGAAGAGGTTAAAACGGTAATGATACAATGGGCAAAAGATTTTGGGTATAACATTCAATTTGAGGAATGGGAAAAATTGTGGAAAGAGAATATAAAATTCACTGCATGCACGTTATTGAAAGAAAATGTTATGAAAATGTTCTATAGATGGTATATTACACCAGTAAAGTTAGCAAAGATGTATAAGATGTGTAACAAATGTTGGAAATGCAAAGATAAAGAAGGGACATTTTTTCATATGTGGTGGGAATGCAAGAAAGTGAAAAGCTTTTGGGAAATGATATATAACGAAATGAAAAAGATGTTAAGATATACTTTTGTAAAAAGACCGGAGGCTTTTCTCTTAGGGATTGTAGGAAAGGATATAAGAAGAAAAGACTGTAAACTCTTTCAATATGCGGTAACGGCGGCCAGAATCTTGATTGCCCAGAAATGGAAACAAGAGGAAATACCGACGATAGAGGAATGGAGACTGAAATTGACAGACTATGCGGAATTGGATAAATTAACTGGGAAAATTAGATATACCAAAGACCAAAAGTTCATCGAAGACTGGGGAAAGTTTGTAGACTATCTGAAAAACATATGTGGTGTGAACACAACGCTAGCGGGATTTCAAGAGGCACTGTAAAAACGGAGAAGTATTGTCAGTAGTAAATAGTGGGAGAAGGGAAGTGTAATGGCAACACGAAAGGAGGATTGTGTAATTACAGTTATGAATATGGATGATTGTCAGAGACGCTGAGGGAAGTTCAAAAACAAATAAGAAGTAATTTGTTGTATTTTGGAAAACTGTATAAATATTTGAAAATTAATAAAAAATTTATGAAAAAAAAACACCAAACAAACAAGCACAGGCATGTCTACTCAGAAGTAAGTCCCATCAAGTTCAAAGAGGCTTATCCCCAGGTTAGTAGATACAGGATTGCAACCAATGTTAGTTGCACTTAATTCCCACTGGGACAAATAGGGCTTTTATCCTGTCAGGCTTTACACATTTATTTCACTGATACCTAAATGCCGCTAACTCACAGCACAATTTCTATACCAGGCTAGTAAATCCCTCTGAGTTAAATTGGTCTTATTTCCAGGTAAGTGCAGACTTACTCTGGAAGCAATCTATAAATAATAATAATAGCAACAACAATAACTGTTGAAACAATATTTGACTGCACAAAACCTAATCCATTAATTTATAGTGTGCTTAATAAATATAAGCAACTTTATAAACTATTATGTATCACCATTGTTATCACTTTACTGCTTTTTGTTTTAAAACAGACTCCAGGCAAGACTTCCTATTCACATTTTAAAAGTTCCCTTGTGAAGAAACTGGCATCTTCTCCAGTTGCTAGTAGCCCAATTTCCACAAGGTGGCAGCAGTCATGCAGCAGAAACCAAGGGGAGCAAAGTTTTGCAGAGAGTCCTGCTACCTCAGATGATGGGCCTGATCTGATGAAAATCATGATAGTTCCAAGTCAGTGTACAGAGATGGGTGATTCCCTCAAAGTAAAGGGGTTATTCTAGTCATTACTCCATAACTCCAGATTAATAAATGCAAAAAACTTGAACATGGTATACAGGTGGTATTTTAACACCTAATAAACCTAATAAACACCTAATAAACTAGCCAAGATGTAGAAGACTATATCAAGTAAATGCTGGAAAGGCAAACAGTCTGAAGGATCATTTATTTCATATGTGGTGGACTTGTAGAAAAGCAACAGGCTTTTGGGAAATGATACATAATGAATAGAAGAATAAGTTTAAAATTGTGATCCCCAAAAGTCTGACACATTTCTTTTGGGAATAATACAGGGCGGAGGTCCCAAAAAGTTGGTTAGATTGTTTATGTATGCTACCACAGCAGGCAGAATTCCGTAAGTGCAGAAATGGAAAGAAGAAGAGGTTCCAACAAAAGAGGAATGGACTTTAAAACTATTGGACTGTATGGTGATGGCGAAACTGACGGCAAAAATAAGAGACCAAAAAAGGCGAAATGTTTGTGGAAGAGTGGAGATCCTTTTCAGACTCTGAGAAAATGCTATAGTCAAATGAAATTGCAGGCAGGACTGCAAATATAAGCAAAGGAATGAGAATGATAAAGGAATGTAATGTAGGATATATGTTATAGAAATAAGTATTACATTTAAGGCGGTAGATAAAGGATTTGAACAGAAATGTCATGGAAGTAAGGATGGGAAGTTAAGGGAATGTTGCATTGAAACTGAATTGAATTTGCTAAATTGTAGGAAAATAAATAACAATTTATGGATCAAACAATGCACAAAAAAGGACAGATCTCTGCTTTCTGTCTCTGTAAGCTGAGTCTGGTAACATGGGGAAACTGTCCAACAATGTAACTACAGCTGACAGTGAACAAAACAGGTGATTAAAGCCTAACATTGTTTTGGTGTAACTGAACAAGTAGAGCTCAACCAGCTTGGCACATCCTGATTAATATTATTACTAGTCTAACAACAACAACAACCTTCCACATGTCTCAAGGTGACATTTAAAGACCAGGTTCCTGAAAACCTGCGTCTTCATCTCCTGACAGTTTCCTGAAACTTGACACAAACATCCTTAAAACACAATTAGAAGTACCGTACTTCTCCAGTTAATCTGTGCCAGGAAGCAAGTCCTTTGCACTTATGTGCACTGTCATAGCTGGAACAAGCTAAACTGTCATTTGCCAAAGGTGGGCTGGGTGGGTTTCTGAAGAGTCTGTATTCAAGATGAACCACAAAGCCACAGAAAGCCAAGCGCCATGAGAAATGTGGGTGGAACTGTGATTTGCGTATGAGCTGGAAATCACCACAGAAAGGGGCTGGGGAGCCTTTCTCAGCCTCGGGGCTGCATCTTGCTGTGGGCAACCTGCTGGCAGTCACCTGGGACCAGATGCAAAAAAAGCGCTCGGAACAATAGATGTGGCTCTTACTGTAGGATACATTCCAGCCATGTAGAAGTCAGAGGTCACTGCACACCCACCTGCGTTGTCTCTCCAACCAAGAAGGCCTTATCTGAGTTCATGGACACAGCCAGTGAGGCAAAAAGAGTTTAGGAGGACAAAGAGTGGGGCCAGTGAAAAGTGTGGCTGTTAAGTTGTGGATGAACACATCAGATGACACAGCGATTCTTCAAACAGCTCTTGTTTATTCACAGGCCAGAACAGAACAGAACTGAAGGGTTCAGCCAGCCTGCTTATATAGAGCTCCACTACAACACAACAGTAACCACTTTCTGTAACTATCCAATCACTGAACATCACTTTCAATCCCTTATTTGCATATGTGGACCTGGGTGAAAACTATCTACAGTATCCCCCTGCTGGCCCAGGGTGAGAACTTCAGTACATAACAGACACGGCCTAGGGAGGGTCCTAAGAGCCCAGATGTAGAGGGTTGGAGGCAGGGCTGGCCTTAGACATTTTGGCACCCGAGGCAGACCCCAAAATGGTGCCTCCTTCCCTGCTGAAGGAGAAAGGATGAGGGAAGATCTACATCAGGAGTAAGAGAGGAAGAAAGATCTACCTTGGGAACAGCTGCCCCTGTGGATTTTGACGCCTGAGGCAGTTGACTCACTTGATCTTATGGGTGGGCTGGCCCTGAATAAATATCTACATTGGGATCAGCTGCCACTGTCACCTCACCTCATGGGTGGCTGGCCCTGGTATTTTGTGCCCAGGACTGAGGTTTACTGCCCCTACTCTCATACACACCAAACTGCCTGAGCACTGTTCTTGCTGGGTCATCTTCTTCCGAAAGCGGTGCCTGTCCCTTCATAAACTCTGAGGCACTGAGGGAGGATGCAACCACCCAGCCTTCTGCCCTTACTGACCCTCCTCTTGCCACCCTCGTCTGTCTGCTGTTGCCAGCAGCGCTGTAGCTTTGTCCCCATTGTAGTTGGAGACAGTAGGGCAGTTAAATAATTTTAGGCTCTGGTTTTATCCTGCCGTCTCCAGATGCCAAGATGTGGTCTGATAGGGCCCTGTAGTTAGATGGTAATGTTTATTATTGTGAGCCCTTGTGGTCCGTCTGCAGAGTGGGGCCTTAAAGTCCTGGCACCACTTCTGGGAGAGGAGATGGGATGAAGGGACTACTGAAACAACGGTGCGAGAGGCACAGGATTATACCCTCCCTTGCTGTTGCAGTGTTTTAAAGAGGTGAGTCGCCCAGTCTTTAGGGGATGACCTGACAAATACCCAGTCAGTTTTTAAAAAATGAATCAGCAAAGTTTGTCCTGTGTTACAAGTTATGGTGCTGGTTAAAAGACTATAATCCATGGCTGAAAAGCTTTTGGTAGCCCTCAGCTATGCTTGCAATAGTTCAGTTACAGGATTATGGTGCTTGCATCTAGAGGACGACTGTTGGGCTGCAGTTCAACATATATTTTACTTGAAAGTAACTTCAACAGAAA